GACAGGTCGCAGTTACATTCCCAGGCACTAAGTTCCCTTTTCGTCTCCTTCTACGACTCGCAGGGCTACGGTGGAGTATTGTAACCCGCCTCCACTCAGCAAAATCATAGAAATAGCCCCTAAAACAGATAAACAAGCTCTAAGTCGGTCTTCGTATCTAATTATTCGAGTGATGAAAACGAACATAGTGTATGAAACATTGTGTGCGTAGAAATGTTACTCTAGCAACATTAAGAACACACACCGACTGGTGCCTTTTATTATAATTAGTTGCGCACTTATTCTCACATGAGTCTCCTCAGTCTCATATAAAGTATGTCAGTATATTGGTACGTCTCCATTCAAATATGAATACTGTGCTTTAGTCAGCATGTATTATTATTGTTCAGTATTGCATTACTAGTTTCTTTTCCATTCAATAAATCAGCTTTTTAATCAACGAAATTTTGTTCTTGTATTGTTAAACTTTTAGTAAAATACTTTTCTCAAAACTATTTTAATATCAGTTGAACGAATAACGGCAACTAATAGAATTGCTTATCAGAAGACATCTCTTGCAAATCAAAGGTTCTCGATATTTGATTGTAAAATCCCAGGTTTTGGTGCAAATTAAAGTCTAAATACTTGTATATTTATGTAAATCGTTTAAAATCTTATTTTAATCACTTGACTAGGACGGCAAATCTTTGTATTTAAATTTAAAATGTTGTTTCAGCATGACCACTCTGCCTGGTGTACAAGACAACCTCGTGTGTTTTTTATATTATGAAGGTTTCTGTTTCGTGTCCGAGCCGATGGCCAGTAGTCCTAACCTAGGATTATCAGATTCCGGAATTATGTTTTAAAATGGATTAAGGCAACTCGCTGACAGATTTCCCCCGAATTAACTTCACAATCATCTTTTCCTATCTCATTCTGTGTTACAAAACTTCAGTAGTTCATATGACATCTTAAAACAAACAAATAATCAACCAAACCACAAAGATCTTAGTCGGCTTATTATAATGTGATCATTTTAATTTGTGTATAGGAAATTCCAGAGAGGGTAAAAGAAAAATGTAAATAAACAATAAGAGCTGCAATTGATTCTCAGCTCGGAACTGGGGCTCACTCAGTCTCCTGTCAAACTGTTACTGGGGGGGGGGGTCTCTTTACACGGAGGTAAATCGGCCTGGCAAAATAGCTGCTAACGCACCTCCACCCTACGCTTAGGTTAAGAATGCGTAGAGCTATAATTCCCGAGGGGTCGGATTTCGAGTCCCAGTGGGGTCAAGAATTTTCTCTTCCCCTCATTGTCCAGATCAGTTCTGGGGCTCACCCAACTTCCTGTCCAATAGGTACAGGGGTTCTTTCCCCAGGGGTAAAGCGGCAGGGGCCTGAAGCTGACCACTCTCCTCCAGCTAGTGCCGAAGTAAAAAGAAATGTGGATCTATAAATCCACACCCCCAAGCGCTTTCACGGCGTAGTGCTTAATTAGTTAAGCACAGAGACAACTTTTCTTTACGTTTAGAGAGCTATACGTAGTTCCATTGCTCCCATACGTCTCCTTACAGTGGTGCTTAAGCGTAGGCACAAATTTATCTTTTGAATTGGCATGGCTCGGCCGTCAGGATTTCATTTGTGAACATATGTACCATGTGTATTTACGTACGACAAATTTTATAATGAAACACCTACACATTATATGTGTACATTATGTGAGCCTGGAGGACAATCTGTAGCGTAGTTGGTTCAGACACTATGCAACAAGCTTCAAGGTCATGGGTTCCATTCCCGATGAGGTGGGTATTTTTAAATTTACCTAATCCTTCAAGCCCCGCTATGGCCCTGGGATCGACTCAGCCTCTAACAGAAATGAGTACTAGGAATCTTCCTGGGGGTAATGGACGGCCAGGGCATAAGACTGACAACCTTACCGCCATCTGTACGCCGATTGTCTAGAGGAAATTTGGGAGCCTCGACATGTCACAACCCTATGGTCCTTCAAGGCCTGTTACAGGGATAGCTCTTTTTACCTTTTACATGATGTGAGCTGTACAGGTGGGTGTACTCCTCAGCATTTATGATACTTTCCAACAGTAATTAGGAGCTACCAAAGTAGCTGGTGGCATGCATTGTCTTCGCTCGCTCGGAAGCCGGGATCGTTGGTTCGAATCCCACTCAGGGCATGGATGTTTGTGTGCGTTTTTCTGTGTTTGTCTACAGGTAGAGGCCTTGCGACGAGCTGATCACCCGTCCAAGGAGTCCTACCGAATGTGTAAGATCTAGAAAAACCGAAGTGAACGGAGAAGTTCATGGAGGTAGGCCTAGGCCCACTGGGGCTGTGGTGCCAAGGAAAAAAAACTATGAACTCTAATTGGTCCTTCAGAGACTTTTTGTTTCATAATCATTGAAATA